AATTTGTTTCTGTCAGTTATATATACTGCAAAGCCTATTAGCCTATTAATGTACTGCAAAGCCTAATAGCTTCAGTTACCTGTGGAGACGGCTGAGGAGAAAGAGATGTAGTTAGATGCCAAGGATTCTTGCCTCCAGATTGAACTGCGTGCTGCTCTCTTTGGGAGGGGTCTGGTTTTAAGCAAAGGACAGAATGCTCAAATCCAATGAAATTACTTTGCTTAGCTACATGTAGTAGCGTAAAAACTTGAACAAAGTCATTGCAAAATAGTTTAATCTGGAATATAATTTAGAATTATTCGTGTCTCAGGTAAATAGTAAAAATTCTAATTTGGATAGTTGAAAGCATTCCAAACACCCTTCCCAAAGTTGTAAGCACTGCTGTATCAAATGCAGGAGGTTACCGTTACTTATCCAATAAACTGCATCTGGAAATCGCCCAGTTTTGTGTGATTACGTGTGACTGGATCACAGCAATTTTGCCCTCTCCAACCTTACTTCTGCAGACTCTGTATCATTAGACACCTTCATTTATATTCATCACCTTTCTTTAGGCCTGGATGTTGGCACTGAAATTTGACTTGGTTTAAATAGTGGCATTCCTATCTCCTTGGTATCAGCTGTATGAGTTCCCATCATCTCCGAAAGCAAGCTATTTGATGCTGTTGAGTATTTGTTGCTTAACTTTAGATTTCTGCTCTTGACAGTCTTGGCCAGTGTGTCTCTTGGACAATGGTTTTTCAGGGAGATGGTTGGACTGGCGTGCCTAGAGGCAGCTGGCATAGACTTCCACAGCTGCACCCACAGCTACATGAAGGATGAGAAATCGCTGTCCTCTTATGGGGTCGTGTTTGTTTAGAAGTCTTTGAAATTTCGTAAGTGCTTTTGGTAAGAACTGTTAATTTGCTGATAGGAATTTTATCATTGTTGACACAAAGAACATAGCTACAGCATTATCAGACTCAAATGCCTACGATTGTTTGGCATTGATGAAGATAAGAGTTTTGTTTGTGTTTTTCCCAGATACTCCTTTTTTAGTAGTGAGCGGTGATGTTTTTTCTCATAGACTGGGGGAAAGGAAAATAGATATGTTTAATAACTGAAAATAAAAACACTTACTGTTGTTTTGATGTCAGAGGAAGAAAACTATGATCTTGAGCTACTCCTTACCCAAAATAACAAAACCCATCAACTTGAGAGGGGGTTGTCAGTGCAGAAGATGCAGTGCGACTGCGCTTCTCTTAGTAGAAGCCTTTCCTAATATTTGGTATAATCACACTGTAAACATGGATTTGCTTTCATTAAAATGAGCAATAGGAGGTCAGATAATCCATTAAGTGTCATGGGGAAGTATCTAGGTGAGTGATCTTTTTTCTCCTCTCAGAATTCTCCGGTATTATGAAAACTCTGGAAATTTCTTAGAAATACTCTCTTACTCTCAAAAGTTTATTATTCTTAAAGTTCTTTATATTCAGCTTTTTATTCTTCTTAACTTTCTTCCTTTCTTTGCACCAGTTTCAGGAAATGAGAGATTCAGATCTTGCCCACGTAACTAACAGGTTGTCAGTTCCAACCACAATGTAGGTGGGTAATTTCAGCTGAAGCAGGGAAGGCTGGCAGGAATATTTGTTTATAACTTTTTTCTCCTTAGCATAGGCTAAGAAGAGTAATTGCATACAGCCTCCCTCTTTTTCAGAGGTTCTTACTACCTCCACAGCCAATCTCAAATAGAGCTTATTGATCATTCCTGATGGGCTGCTACAATGCAGTAACTGTTCTAGTAATTCACTGGGTAGACTCGTTTAGCACAGAGCCTCAGTTCATTAATATTGAGCAAGCTGAACTACAAAGCACCTTCTGCCATGCTTTAGCCACTACTTGAGAAAATGTACTGTAATATCATTTGGGGGGAAAATACCTTTTTTTTTTGCTCAGGAAATCGATTTATTTCTTTATGAATTTTAGGAAAGGTAAGACAAAATACATGGGTGAAGGTCAGGCATTTAAATTTACTTTGCAATAGCTTCTTTTCTGACCTATATGAGTCCTGCAAGCGCAGCAACAGTCGAGCTGTTCAGCTGCAGGCACTGGTCTCAGCTAAGAGGAAGATGCCAGAAAACATTAAACCCTTCAGTGAAAGTTTGGCTGAGATCACGCATGCGGCAGCAGAGAAGAGCTAAAGCATGGAGTGCAGGAGAAGTCATGGTTGCTGATGCCTTCTACCTCCCAGATGGGCCGAGAGACTGGCTACAGTGGCACCTCTTCTGTCACCCTTCATCTCATGACCTTGAGGAGGACACCATAGGCAGAGCATGCATCTTATGCGTGGCTGGCACTTAAGGCCCTCCATCTGCCTACCACTCGGCTGCTTTGGGTGCATGTGGCAAGTCTGAAGAATAATGCAAGAGGCTTATGCAGTGCCACTAGACTTACTGCTCCTTTCGTGCACATGCAAGTGCAGTACTGGAGACTTCCATCCTCCTTATGATGAGCCTGAGGTGTCACAGTATCTTTGAAAAGGTCTCCTGCAGACACTTTCCCACATAGTTGGTGATAAATTAACGCAAGCATGTGCCAAAAGTGAGTAGCAACAAAGGCAGGAAAATGCCATAATTAGTCTCACTATTTTTTTTAAATGCTTTCTCATAACTGGGCAGAGTGACAAAACTGTTAAATGTGACTTTGTCTGCAAGTATGATTTCTAGTGCTTTAAATGCAGCTTGAACACGTTTACAACTTTATTTATATCAGCTGATTTTTGGCAGTACTTGAGATTGTACAAGTGCAAACACTTGGGTATAAAAAAATAACTATACTCCCACATGTGCACAAAAAAAATGCACAGGGTAGGTCTGATACATTTGATGCATTATAGATACTTTATCCCTGAAATAATGCAATGAATATCCTGCGCAAACACTGTTCAACTGCACAATGTCTCCATAACATGTGCAAATTGGAATGAGATGGATGAAGACCTGAATTTGCCTTTGGACATCACAAGTCATTTATTAGTCGACTTGTAAAGGTGTTAAGCTCAAACGTAGTACAAGCTCAGATGTGGCCTGTAAGAGATGTTTGTGATTTGTTTTTCAAAACAGTTCTGACAGTGCAAGTCCCTGAATTCCAAGAGTTAAAATAAGAAGCAGCTTTTAATGTTTTTTTCTGTGAGCTCCTGAGAAGTCATTTCTGGCAAGGATGATGAATTATATGCAGAAACAGGGAGCACTGAGTCACATACAGTGAAATCAACCTATTGATTTAAAAGCAAAAAAGTATTTTAAAAAATTTTCAAAGGCACAGTTCTATTATAGTGTCATTTAAAGGGATTTTCTCTTCAGAATGTGATTTTCCTGTTATTTCTCACCCACTGCTGGGCGCTGCTGTTCCTTTTTGTTAAACTGTGGTAACTTTTGTCCAGTGCAGTGAGTTTTATGTCTCAGGAGCTTTCTGGTTTCAAGTGTATTGAATGTATATTGAATGGAATGTCCCACTAGCTTTACATATTGGAGTTTGTTCTACTTTAACTTAGAAAAAACAGTGTTCTAGATTCTCAGGGGTAAAGTAGCACAACCTTGTTAAAACGAATTAAGCATTATTAGTCGATATTAGATAAGAGTTGATTGGCTGTCCCTGAAATTATATGTAGATTTTTCAAGTTAACTTAAATAACATGATAATTGATAATTCCTGGAAATGAGAGAACGTAGGTCTTACCCAGTGTGAATTTCTTTTTTGTGTTGTTGGAATCATAACTGATTAAATCAGCTAGGCAAATTAGCTGATGCAGATCTAAACAAGGAGTTAATTTGGTCTGTGCTGTCTTTTGATGTGTAACACTTATATAATTTTATGATACACAGTTTTTATCTGCATAATCACAGCAGGTTCTAACCCAATGCCTTAAAAGGTTTACTTGGCACAATATCACGTAATCTGTACATGTCGAAGATGTTAGAGAAAAAGTGTATTAAAAAGCTAAGGATTATTTTTAACACTAGTATTAAGATTGAATTTTCTAAATCCTTTTATCTGTATAAAGCAAAGCAAAATATGTTTATTACATATATAGATAAGAATCACATATTTAAAATACTATTAAAATTGCATTCCACATATTACTGTTGTTTAGAAAGCAAAAAAGTCTTCAGAGTTCCTCCCTTTAAGAAGTTTCACGCTTTGGTGCATTGTGCATCCCAGTAGGAAGGTGTATCACTTCCTGCTGGAATAAAATTCTTGTTTCTAGCGGGAATGCTTTTTGTGCATATTCTGCTTGTTGTCCATGCTTTAATATTGCCCATTTTAGGGGGTAGACTAGGGTGACTTCTCTGGCAAAACTCCATATTTGATGAGGAAGGAATCAGTTTTGTGAGAGAGAGTTCTACCAAATAAATTGCAGTCTAAAACCTTAAGGTTAGCTGACTGTGCCTGAACGGCAGCAGAACAAGACACAGTGAAAGGCCAGAAGATGATGTATAGTCAGGGAAAGCTGCTCAGTCACTCTTGGGCCTCTCAGGGGATGGAGTGTTCATGTCCTTGCAAGATTTGTTTTTTTTCACTGTGGTGTTTCTTATTGTTTTTTTTCCTCCCCTCATGGAAAGAGAGAGAATGCAGAGGCCTGACCAGTTTGTAAAAAGGGAAAATCTCTTCCTATGCAAGGTGTAGATCTACCTCTTAAGATATGTCAATCCACGTTCCCCTTCAGTAGGCTTCTCTTTGCAGCCAAAAATGTAAGTGCAGTGAAAAGAGATTTTGTTATGTCAGCTGGCTAAAACACTGCACTTTTTGCCAATGCTATGGCTCATTCATAAAGATATTTGGGTTGGAAATGTGGTTTCTCTATGAAGGATCACATGATATGGTAAAGTTGAGAATGGCTGCTTGCCACATGCGTACCGATGTCTGTATGCACGCATGCATGCACATCATAGCTTCAGCTAAGATACTTCTCAAGCGTATCCCTGATCTTTGCTGACATTGTAATATGTATCTTCCAACAGTGGGATGGAGTCGGACCTCTCCCGGACTGTGCAGAACCACCCAAAGGAATCCAGATGCTGTGGCACCCTTCAATAGTCAAACCCTACCTCACACTTCTCTCTGAGTGCTCAAATCCGGACACGCTGGAGGGGGCAGCAGGGGCACTGCAGAACTTGGCTGCTGGGAGTTGGAAGGTAGGAACATTAACCTCATCCACATACTTTTAAATTCAGAATACCCTTCAGATGACAGCAATTAGTGATATGAATGTGTGTGAATGCTCCTCGGAGTGGAATAACGATACGTTTTCACAGAACTATCTGCAGTCAAATTTTAGACAGTATTTAAGTCTCTTGAACTGATAGAAATAATCATATCACAGGAAAGCCTGGCATACAGCAGTGAAAATCCCATTGGTCTAGTGAAGTATGAAGAGTTGCTGCTGAAAACAGATATCCAAATGAGGAGAAGAAGCATCTTTATGAATCTGTGGTGACAAAGCCATGAAAAATGAGCCAAAAATATCAGCAGTGACAATCCAAAGAAACCCCGTTGGTTTGTCAGTGCAGAAACTAGATGACGTTCTGTTGCTTATGAGAAACTGGGCAAGAGCATAGCAAGATATAAATGAAGTGACACCAACACGAGTAATGCCACATCTACTGTTTGAAAAACTAAGAAATTATTAGACTATATCATCTTTATGGTTAAATACATAAAATAGGAAAAGAAATGCCCAATCAAGGCTATTCCATGTAATTCTACTTTTCCATTATAATCAAAAGACCCAGTTTTCCATCCCCAGTTATTTGCGGTGAGTGCCAAAAATTTTTATTAACTGATTTATTTTATCAAGTTTCCTTAAAAATGATTAGTTTTTGAAAATTTTTCTAAATTTAGAATAATCAGTAAAATTTGAGATAGCATTTGAGCCTGGTTTACTTTCTACGACAATTTCTGTATCCCTTTCCTGATGCTAAACTGGTGTGACTGGGTGAAAATACTGTCTAACCCTATTGCATAAATATGACGTGTTGTTTCTAAGATAATTCTCACTGGGAATTTTTCACATTTACTATGAAAACACACATGTATCGGGGCATACAGTTTTCAAAGTTGAGTCTCAGACAGTATCCCGTTTGGTTTTAAATGCTTGGACATTCGTATAAATATGTGGGTGCCAATTTAATTAGACACTCATTTTGAAATGTTAGCCTGGAGGCTAATAAACGACTTGGTTTTTTTTACATAACGTTTTATTGGAAGGTTAATTGGCACATTCAGTAGATAATTCAGAGGCACGTAATTTTTTTGAGCGCTATGTTCCCCCAACCTTATAGAATGCCTTTGACCATTGCATTCAATGACATAAAGAAATGAGTAACAAAATCTCTGCCTAGTGATTTTGTCTTGCAAAGTGCTATGTATGCACTGTGCCTGAAAATCATTACAGTTTTATTATTCCCATATCAAGGACCGCATCATATTATGTAATCTTGGCACAGAAACGCGGTACATGTGTTTTATTCATGTGGGAACGGGTGTAGCACTAGCCCAAATGAGAAAATAATGTATGACACATTTGTCCGGACTAATAGGAATGCTAAAATCCAAATAGTGCTCGTTCTCCCATTTCTAATAAGTCTGTACCTGTCATTCTTTAGTCGGCAGATGCATACCATGAACTGGAGAGGAAGGAAAGCTCTGTAGAGCTCTTCTATGAGTGATGCGTTAGAAAAACTGACTTGAACTTTATATACACTGGTATCATGGGGAAGGCTTGGTTGTTCTCTTGTTGTTTTATTTTTCTAAAGATTCACCAATTCCATTACAATTGATGTGCAGACACAAAATGAATATACTTAATTTCACATGTCATACTAGCCATTTATGTGAGGGGAATAATCCTCTTTGGGGTTACATAAGCATTGACGTTTCCACCTTTTGACCTCTCTTTTCCACTACTGCACTCTCTGGACATAAAACGGCTGAAATAAAAGATAACAAACTCTTAAAAGAAGACGTTATTCCTAAGGGAGATTTTCATTTTCTGAATTCCTGCAAGAAATTGTAATTGTATAAAGGCTGGGAAATGATTTTTGCTTGAAATCTTTCAAGAAGAACTTAGTTTGAACTGTATGATAAAGTGAAAGAGAGAAAAAGAGGGAACTGCATTAAAAATAAATGATGTTGCTATTACTAGCAGTGCTAATAGCAACTGTGGTTAGTTTCTTTGTTTTTTCCCAAATAGCATTATTTTAGTGACAGAAGAACCCCAGACAGCATGAGGTATCTAGTTCACCAAACATGCTCCCACACTTCACAAGATGTCGTCTCTTCTTGACAAAAACTTAGTGCAGTTCATGTGTTTACACGATTCTTTTCCAGCTCGTTTGTGCTTTTGGTTCCTATGCATATAAAGCTGTTTAATCCTCTTCAGTGACAGAGAAGTAACACTTTTAACACAGGCAGCGCTTAACCAATGTCATTATGAAGGGGAAGTGAGAAGATAAAAGGAAGCCTAGAATAAGTTTAAAAAAAAAATGTATAGGGGATTTAGATAAACGTCTGCCACTGGAATTAACCATTGATACATATCTAAGTCCCCTAGACTAGCTTTGAAAATTTCAAACACAAAAGGAAAGCAGCAGTATGTAGCTTTAAGGATTAAAAACTGAGAGGGGCTGAATGTGGGACAAAGTTTTTTGTTTTTTTTTTAATTCCATAGGGTGATGCATACACATAATGTCAACATATGCACATATGGAAGTGAATAAATCTTAATAAATCTTAGCTTGTAGGACATCTTTAGCACTCTTTCACTTGCAGGAATTCCTTGTAAAGCCAAGCGCTGCAGAAGTAATAATTAAAAAAAAAGTGATATGTACATATATTTGCACAACATTTTTTTGTGTCAGACTGGAACTGTTTGGGTCCAAGTCTTGCCATATATTAGCCATCTCTTGACTAAATTTGCTTCTCATGCAATGGTTAATACAATATATGGTCTTCTAATTATTATTAGAATCAAGCAATACTATAGTGAATCAAAAAGGAGCATATTGGTGACAAGTATATTCACTGATCGAAATAAGAACATTTACAGAATCACAGAATCGTTTAGGTTAGAAGGGACCTCTGGAGATCATCTAGTCCAACCTCCCTGCTCTAGCAGGGTCCTCTAGAGCATATTGCCCAGGATCACATCCAGACGGGTTTTGAATATCTCCAATGAAGGAGGCTCCACTACCTCTCTGGGCAACCTGTTCCAATGCTCTGTCACCCTCACAGTGAAGAATTTTTTCCTCAGGTTCAGATGGAACTTCCTGTGGTTCAGTTTGTGCCCGTTGCCTCTTGTCCTGTTGCTGGGCACCATGGAGAAGAGGCTGGCCTCATCCTCTTGACACTCCCCCTTCAGATACTTGTGCACGTTGATCAGATCATCTCTCAGTCTTAACTGACTAAGAGGTTAAGGTACTGATTTGTCAACAGTTAGGTACTGATTTACCAACAAAACAGGATTCTGACCTAAGGTATGAGGAAGGATATTTTCAATGGAAAATTTAACTGGGATAGGTCACAGTTGTGTATCTTCCAGTTATGAAGAAAAATGAATAGACTGACAGGTTATGTGCAAAGCAGAAAATTTTGGAAGAGGCTGTCTCAGGTAAAGATGAGTATTATTTCAGGATGCTGGCAACCTTACAGCTGAGATGATGTGTTTCCTCACTGATGTGGTGCAAAGCAATTTCACAACCAACCATTTGTATTGAAAGGACATTAAGAGTTTGAGTTCCTTCTTCTCACTCTTCTGCATCAAGGCATTGGTCCATGTGGAGGACAGAGGTATTAGAGTCTGAAGAGAGCAAACTCTTTCCTTTCATGAAGAACTGTATGCATCTGCTCACAGATCTCTCCTTCTTTACTTCATGAATTTATTTGATGCATCTTTGTATGATATGAATGGCCTTCCTGGAATAATATATATGGAGATGTGCAAATGTGTGTGCTTGGAGTGGGGAGAATTGACAAAATATTGCACATCACAGCCAGGATACACCTATGTTTCAGGCCTGACTATGCTTCATGTGGTGGCCTATGGTAGTAACAGTTGGTCACTGCATTTCCACCCCACTTATGGGGCTGCTGGCCGCCAGCAGTATGCGCTCCATGTATGTATGGATCAGGTTGTCAGCACTGTATGTGCGTGCACCTACCCTTTCTGTAGAGCTCGGCTAGTATCGGGGGCTCGGTGGATTTCTGTTTGAAGGGACTCATTGCTTTCCAAAATATGCTCTCCCATCAAATTGTAACCAGGATAATTTCATTTTATCCTAAACTTCCTTCAGGTTGAAGGAGCAACCCATAGAAAGGAAGGGCTACTGGTTTTATTTTTGCTCTCTTTCATTGCCACTTTTAGATATGAGTTTTCCAAAAGTAGACTATTTCTAAGTATAGTTTTTACACTTGCTATTATACTTAATATAGTCTCATCTTTTAGAGCTGCCTTGTACTATGAAAAAAGACCTAAGGAAATATATTCCTCAGCCAAGCTTAGAATTTTTCCTGATGAAATGAGGCTCAAGACAGGCCTTTGAAAGCATTGGAGACTCTCATCTCCCATTAGGCGCCGACTCTCACTGGGAGCTCTGTTAGTTTTCTTTGGCACTTAGTTTGGGTTTTGCCAACTCTGTGGAGTATGCAAAAATTAAAAAAGGAGGTTTGCTGACTTACTCAGCTGTATTTGGAAGACACATGCCTGCTTTTTAAGAAATTCCTGATGCTGTAACCCTGCAGACCTGATATCCTTTCTACGACCTTATATCATTATTTATTGTGATACCTTGGATATTAAAAAACTATGAAGTATAAAATGACAAGACTCATCCTGTAAAAGGAAATCTCCATAGATATTTTATTATATAGTCTGGAATCAGTAATTTTCCTTGGCCAGTGGGGAAGAAGGAATGGCAAATTCTTCTTAGTTTTCACCTTGGTTACTATGCTATTAACAAGTTAAAATACTAAGTATCTACAAAGTTATGTTCAGAATGTCCTGTAGGTAGTAATATCAAGTCTCCAAGTTTACATCCTTTGTGAACAAAACATTGCTCTCAGGAAGAAAGGAGATACCACTGGGAATCTGTATATCTGTGTGTATCCAACAGCTAAATTCAGGCTGTTGACAGTTTAT